TATTGTTGTTCTTGTTAGATGAGCAATATGCAAAGGTTTATTGTTTTTATTTATTTTTTTTTTAATAAGAAACAAAATATTTTTATTTTGTGGGTTCAGAAGCTTGAAAATGGCATACTCTCGTCATTGAGCGCCGATAATGAGAGTTGTTCGGCAAGTGAATCGCCTGCTTCATCATCAAAATCATCACAACGCAAAGTTATGTTCAGTGACACAAAAGACGCTTCGAGGAAATCGATCGGTAGAAAAGTAGATGGTATCTCTACTGCTGTTTCTTTTCCTGAACGAACTCAAGCGGGTGATTTGATCAGCATAGCTGGAGGCATGAGACGCCTACCACCGGTAAGTAGTAGTATGATTTATAAACAGTTTTTTACGAGCATAAACTATGCACATAAACAGCTTGAAATTTACGAGCTAATAGCTATTAGTTCACGAGTCTCACGATATTTATCTAAATTCGAATCCTATGTGTCTTGTAGTCTGGGAGCACCATTACAGATCAAATGGAACTTTTCCGTGAGCAGATAAAAATGTTAGCTGGAGAAGTAGCTTTATCAACCAGTTCTTTGAAACGGTTATCAGAGCAAGCAGCTAAGGCCCCTGGAGACTCCAAACTTCAGGTAAAGAAGCTCAATGCTAGCTCTGGTTTTACATTGTATGCGTTAGATTTTCTTCCGCATCCCAGATTAAGTAAATAATACACAATGTCATCAAGCAAAACTTGTGGAAAGTTGAGCTCTAGAGTTTAGACTGCATAGCTCTAATGGAGGATCATTCTGCTTGTTATCACGGCAACTTGATTCAGGAAAAGGTACAAAAGTTGAAGGATGAAATACGAGAAAAAAAGCATCAAATTGGGGTTTTAGAGCAACGGATGATTGGATCAGTGGAGATGTCTCCTTATGGTTCAAGCATTGTTGAGATGTCGCAGGTAACAATGTCAAAACTATATTTTAAGTCATGAATTGAGAAATCATGCAAAATATATGCATATATTTGTTTTCTAACGTGTTATTTATTACAATTGTATCTCTATATGGGGTCTTCATGCAGGCATTGTCCAGGTTTGCTGCTGAACTAAATGAGAAGACATTTGAGCTTGAGGTATGTCAAACCCAAATTTGATGATTGTTATCTGTCTAACATACTTTCAACTGGAATTACGAACGAATTGTGCCCACAATTTACGTAGATCAAATCTGCCGATAACAGAGTCCTCCAGGAGCAACTGCAAGAGAAGGTAAAATGGTCATTGGCTAAATTACTAAATTTGTCTTGTGCTAATGCTATACCATATACCATGTGATGAATTACTATCTGTATTTTAGACAGTGGAGAACACAGAGATGCAAGAAACAATCAATCTCTTAAAGCAGCAGATCGAGTCCTTGATGTCAAATAAAAATTCGAGGACTACAGATAGCATGACTGGGCTGAACAGCTTTGAAGAATCCTCCGACATAACAAATGAAAGAGGGTCTGAAATCAATTCATTCGAATATCTATACGAGAATACACCAACTAGTGTTGGGAGCATGAAAAGAGTATTCAACCATGAGGATGCTACAGATTGCAACCGGACTTCCAAGCTTCTTTTGCAGGTAGGCTTTTTCCCACTGGAGAATTATTCTTTTTTTTTTAAAAAAAGAATCAATTACCACTATACATTTCTCTATAGAACTTACCGATCATCCGCCCAGATAATTTTATTTACCAATCATTATTTACTTTTTGCATATCAGATTTAACTTTAATCATTACTTTTTCACCATATATCCTTTCACATTCTAAAAAAACTTCCATTCCTCCCTCCAAATTTGTTTCATCATTATTCCTTCGTGGATGAATAATTCCAAATGAAAGTATATAATCAGTTTAGCTGTTTATCGTGAAAATATCTATTTTAAGAGAAGCCAAAAGTTACCAAGAATGGCTGAACGCAAGTAAAAGCTTAAAATTATTAAGAACACAACAAAACATTTAGTGAAATTAGTTTCAAAAGTGCTTATTTGTTTCAATGCCTTCATAGATTTGATCAAATTACTTAGAAGCACAATAAGTTGGAGAAAAATCTTTATCCTTCTTCCATATACTAGTTAATAATGATGTGTTTCTTCTCTCTCTCTCTCTCTCTCTCTCTCTCTCTCTCTCTCTCTCTCTCTCTCTCTCTCTCTCTCTCTCTTCAGGCTGCCGAGATAGAATCACTAAAGCATGACAACATAAAAATCTCCGAGAGGAACGACGAACTCGAGATCCACTGCCAGAAGCAAATCAAGGAAGCCTCCTACGCCAAGGAGCTAGCTGCAGCAGCCGCAGTCGAGCTCCGTAACCTGGCCCACGAAGTAACCAAACTCTCGTACGAGAACACCAGGCTGGCTGCTGAGCTGGCATCTGCCAAGGACTCGCGCTGCAAGGCGAGGCAGAACGGAACCCGCCCAGCAAGGAAGCATCATGAGCAGGACCGATTTTTGTCTGCCGAGGAGTTCGAGCTGGAGCTGAATGCGAGGTACCAAAGGGAAGCCTCGTTGGTGGCAGCGCTTTCCGAGAGGGACAACATAGAAGCCGATCTGCGGAGAAGACTGGACGAGGCGATGAAGCACGAGGAGAAGTTGGAGAACGAGCTGGCCAACATGTGGGTCCTCGTTGCAAAGACACGCAGCAAGTCCTTTGCAGGCCCATACGAGATTTCGAACGAGGAGAGTGAAACTGCTGTGGAGTATGGTGTGCTCGAATGAGGGAAGGTTTTAGAACTTTGGGAATTGAAGCTGCGCGAGCGAGCAACTGGTGAAAAAATGAAAAATTACCGATTACTAGCAGTAAGGTTGTTCTTATGGTGAATAGTGGTCCTTGTGCTGACGACTGCTATGCTATGTACAGAGTGTTAGTTTTGGGGCTACTTTAAGAAAAATACTGTCATAAAAAACATTAATGAATAGCAGTGGAGCACTTTGTTTAGTGTTTAAAATTATTCAACCGAATTTTAATTAATTTCTTCACACCCCAAATTTTAATATTTATGCATTCACAGATTCAGTACATCATGTTACACCTAAAATCAACCAAGTGATAGACAACACTCGGAGAAATCTAAACACAATTCTCAATAACACTTTCATCCGCATATACTTGAAGCCATAGCTCCAAGCACACCAAATACATTGCCCCGAATGAGCTCCCTGAAAAATCGCATTTTCCCTCGATTATAAGGCGGGTATCTTTGAGGCACCTCCCCAATAAAACACCGTTTTAACACAGCCTTCTTATGACTGAAAGCATCGAACGAGAATTTTCCATGATAAGCCCCCATGCCGCTTTCTCCTACACCTCCAAACGGCAAACCGTTTTCTGAAAACTATATCCAACAATTTTGTTAGTTTCTTGTGAGTCCATGTATATATAGTCATATACTAATGTTTCTTTGTATATTTTGGCTTACGTGTAAAACAGTGTCGTTAATCGTCATACCCCCAGCCAGGATGTTTCCTATGAACTCTTCCTTTAGCTTCTTGTTGTTTGTAAAAAGATACGCAGCGAGTGGCCTCTCTTTGCCATTGATCAAACGAAAGCATTCGTCGATTTTATTAACCTTTATCCATGAAAGAAGAATAAAAAAATTAACAAAATTAAATAAAATCATCATCATCATCATCATCATCAATTGCAATATGGGATATCTTGACCTGAAACAATTACTAAGTTTTACCGTTATAATGGGAAGTAAGGGACCGAAAATCTCCTCGTTCATGATCAGAGAATCTTCTGGAACATCCAATAAGATAGTTGGAGCAATCTTGCTGGGAAAAACAAATGGTGAAGATAAAAACGATCATTTGTTTTTAACTTTTTATCACCAACACAGCTCTTATTGCTCGAGCAAAAGAAAAAAACTTACAGATTGGTTCTATCCTGTTGACCTCCACAGACGATTGTCCCATAAACCTTATCATCTTCTAATAACTTTGACACACGGTCAAAATGGTGCGTATTTACAATGCTCGATAAGTCCTTAGATCCAATCGGATCCTTTCCGTAAAATTTCTCAAGTTCAGCTTTCAAAGCATCCACCTAAGATACATAGCAAATGCAACTGAGAAAGAAATAGATAAAACATTTAAAAGCATGCATACATTAATCAGATGAACTATGCTTACCACTTTACAAGCATACTCTTTTGTAGTTATTACATAATCAGGTGAAATACAGGTTTGTCCATTGTTGCATGCCCACTTGCCCCAAATTATCCGTTTCGCAGCAACCTTATTATCATATGTATTGTTAAAAAGTTATACTAAAACTTACTTGTACTACAAAGAAGATTAAAAGCCCCCAAAAAAAAAGTAAGTAAAAAAGATTCGATTTTTACCTTCAGATTAATGTCTGTGTCAACCACCACAGGAGATTTCCCGCCAAGCTCCAAAACAACGGGAGTAAGATGCTTTGCAGCAGCAGCTAATACGACCCTCCCCACCTTCCCGTTCCCTGCACATTACTCGTCCGATAACTCAAACATGTCAAAATTACCCAAATAAAAAAAAAA